CTGTAGCTGCTGCATGCCACCTCTCGGGGTTCCACACCCCATCCTCAAGGTAGGCCCTAGAAATGCTACTGGGCCAGGCCTGCGCGAGGGGTGAGTCGCGCAGGACCAGCAGGACCGTCTTAGAGTACATAGTTCAGCAACGGGAGTCCATGGCACAGAGGGGAAAGATGTTATCTGGCCGTTCTTCGGTCTTCCAAAATATATAGTGTGATCTATGTCATTTGGGAAGAAGAGTATGTAAAGGAGTAGAAGAATAAAGAAAGGAGAATAGGAAATACAAATACATGGCCAGAATTAAATGAATATTTAGATGCCAATTGGTAAAAGGTGAGTCTTGGGTCTGAAAATATTAATAAATCAGTAGTTTTTTTTCCTATAGGACTACTAGTTTCATAAACGAAAATGATGCCTGCTTCATAATGTGGGAGAAAAGCATTGTTCTTTATTTTTCCCCATACTGAAGAATGAGTGAATGCCATTAAGGCACATGATAAAATAGATGTATAGTCTGCTCACCATTAATGTGGGCAGGCAGTATCCTGCAGTGAAGTAAGACCTGTGTCCAGGTGAAAGGTTTCTAGTATAACAGGTTCAAAGACATTGCACAACTATTTTGTGTTAATGCACTTTCTGGCATATGACAAATAATGGAAGATAAGGTGGGGAAAATTTTGTTTGAGATTTATCCTTTTCTTTGAAAGACTTCTGTGCCTAAAAATTAATATGCAACAGGCAACAATTCAACAGGTATGCTTCTTTTGTCATGGCATTGAGTAATGGGAAAAACCTCACTGACTAAGCGGTTTGTGTCAAAGATAAGTGACCTGTTTATGTGAAAAATGGTTTTGTGTAAGCAGTGCCAAGTTTCCCTGTAAGAGGACTCATTCTCTTATTTCTTTGCTCTTGCATCATTTTGTTTATGTGAGGAAGAAGCTGATCTGAAATTGTTTGTAACACTAGGCAGTGTTGCCTAGTGTTGCCTTGTTTTCCTTTCAAGAATTAATCTGCTTTTTAAAAGACCAGATGCTCAGATAAATCCTGAATTTCTGCTTAAATGGAATATGTTCCTCATATAAGAATTTCACTGAAGTGTTTTAACTCATCGATTTATTAATATTAATTGTGTATTTATTGCTCTATTTTGCATGAGGTGTGACAGTCGTTGCTGAATTGCTCAATCTATATTGATTAAAATTGTATTTAATAAATTTTAAAAAATCACAATAAACTGGCTGGTGCTAAGTAACCATGCAGGGCCCATCCCTGCTCCCATAAATAGCTATTAAGATTTGCAACATATTTGTCTTACCTTCTCTTGCTTGCAGGTAGAAAATAGGCATAAAGCACATTGCAGTCTTTCCAGTTCAGAGTAAATCTAACAGTTTGGATAGTAAGAACTAGAGCAAGAGTGATAAAAATTAATTCTGATTACTTTTATCGTTGATCATACTGTTTTGAGATGTTGGCGTGCTGGTAGAATTTGGAGGTCCATAAGTTCTCCAGTTTGCTCCTGATCATAATGCAGCATTGTTATGTCATGTGGGAGCTGCCATGAAGGGGCAAAGAGATCATTGCATTCCAGTACAAGGAACATTGTTGTTTGTATACTATAATTCACTTCATATACTTCACAGAGTAACTTAAGCAATAAATAAATGCGTAGTTTAAAGAATGGACAACTTAAACATCAGACTTGGGGTGTAGAGAGACTGGCAAATTTTAGGATGAAAGTAAAAATGTTAATGAAGAAGCGAAACTCCCAAGGAGCAGAATAGAAAGGTTTTGCAGATTATAAACTCTCATTTAACTGTGGCAACTCAGGGACCTCCTTTTTGCCAAATCCCTGAACTGTAGCAATTGGAATATAATTGCTAATCAGCTTACTCTTCCACTGCATTTTGCTGCTTGAACTTGTTTCTTGCAAACTGCTTATCTTACTTTTCTTGCAAACTACAAACCATCTCAGATGACAGCTGGATCACAGAATGTAAGCTTGATGTGAGGCCAGAATGTTTAATTGCTTGTACCTTGACCTTTTCTTTTTGTTTGCAGATCCTGTACTTCAGGTGCCACTGCACATGGAAGAGTAAGTCCTCTTTCTTTTCACTCTACTTTTTCAGGATCTACAGCTCCGATTGCACTGGAAAACAACAACTAACACAACTCCAAGCTTTTAAAATGAAAGCACTTCTACACTACAAACTTTGTAGGTTAGGTCAAAATGGTTGGTTATATGAGCAGTCCAGACGTTTGGTTCTTCCAGAAAGATGCCTAGGGATTTCTTCTTCTTCTGAAATCTCTTACATAAACCTCTCAGTTTTAGTCAGGAAGGGGGAGCATTGTGGGATGTAGCAGGAAGGAAAACCTCATTTTCTGTCCTTAAAAATGGAGCCAAGAGGGAAAGGGTTAATAACATCGCTTCATTATAAAAAGCCTAGTTTAAGGCTTCTTCCTGCTCTGTGCAGCAGCAGCCCAGGCCTCATTCTTTAGCTCTGCTTTCTAAGAGGAAGCAGAGGCTTCCCCAGCAATTTGAGAGCTGAGAAAAAAAAAATAGAAGAAAAATACTACAAATGTCAACAAACATGTAGTCGAGCAGGCTGGTGCCCTGCAAGAATGAACTAACTGACTAAGGCACTAGCTGCAGGCAAGAGGCCACATGTCAGCCAAAACATAAGTCCAAGGAAAGGAGGACCATTGGAGCCATTCCAGTTGACCGGGCCAAACTGCAGTGAAGGCCTAGGGGCAAATTGAGAGGAAATTCCGCCAGACATGGCCAACATATGAACAGCAACACTGGCACTGAGCTTACCTACCAAGCAGCAGGACTTAACATCTCTTTCCAGTAAACTAGGCACAAGGTGTATCACAGTAACTTGTATGCAGATAGCAGTGACTAATGTCACATTGAGGCTTCACTGTCTGTGGGAATGCATTTCACCATTCACTTTGACAAGAACATACACAGGTTTTTGAAGCAAATTCTGTCTCTGGGATTCCACCAACAGAGATGAAAGAAAAATGTGTATATATTAGCGGCAGACCCTTGAGTTCCAGAAGACTGTAAAGGGAGATCCTAGTGTCAAGGAGGCCGAGTCTCAGGCAAAATTATAGTGGAAGATGGCTTGAGGTACTAGGTCTTTCTCCTAATCCAGTATCAAATTACCATCATATTTCACCTATATGCAAGTAGTTATATTAATGATTCTCAGCCAATCTGGTGCAGGGAATGCCAATCGGACATCAGGTGATCACAGATGCCAACCTGGTGGTGTGGGGAATTCACATCTCAAACAAGTTGGTGCATTCCCTCAAAGGTACACACTGCTGCTTAATCTACTGGAACTGAGGACAGTAAGGCTGGTTCCAAGAGTATTGTCAGAGCAGATGAGAGTGTGACACCTGCTGGTGTACATGCAGCATGGTCTGTTTACACAGTCAGGACAGATTCAGATTAAGGGACCTTTGGAACATGTACAATCCCTAATAGAATTAACATGGGAGCACTCAAGACACTTCATGGAAAGCCCAGGCATCCTGCCTCAAAACCTAGTTCTACATCCAGACGCAGGCTGGCTATCATCAAGTGCCTGGAAAGTGAATGAAAACTTCTGAGCTACAGCTTTCCAAGTCCTGTAGTAAAACTATAAAGATATCCAGTAATTCCCAAAATATACCAATATCAATTGACTGGACATGCTGTTGACTGGTGATGCAAATCATGACACCAATATAGGTTCTACCAAATGGCATTGAGGGCAGGACTATCAGCCATTGTGAGGACCTGGCTCCATTAGGCATTTTGAGCTTCACTCTCTGGACAAGCAAGGGCCACTTACAGATCCCTTTCTTTTTCCAAGGTACGAGTGTCCTCTTATTTCCTGTGATTCACTCACTGATTCTTTTCAGGGCACCTGTCATGGTTTTCAAAACTTTAATATTTGTTCTGTTCAAATCAGTCACTTTTACCTGGACCCATTAGGTACCCGTTAATACTTTTACCTGGAAGACAATTATTCTGGTACACCAAACTTTAGAGAGAAATGTGGGACAATTAGGAGCTGTCTTAGTAAAAGGTGATCCATGTATTCCGTCAAGATTATGCGGTACTAAGACCTTGACTCATGCCCAAAGTCAGTGCTAAATTCCATAAAGCCCAAGAGATAGTGCTCCCCAATTTCTGTCTGGCCCCTTTCCCCCATGACTCTGGCACAAACTAGTTGTGCAGGACTTTCAGAAGGGGTCTAGGACAGTTTATCTTGGCCAACACGCCATGACCAACTCACTGCGGGACAATTCAACACTGTATTAATCATTTCGTTCAGTTACTTTTATTATTGGTGACCACGTTTTCGTTGAAATTATTGTAACTCTTGTATTTCTGGATTGACTTTCTTTATTATTAGTGGTCATGGTTCTGGTAAAATTAATGTAACTTTTGTTATTTGTTGAATTGTCCTATGATGAGCTGTCCTGCAGCGAGTTGGCCATGATGAGTTGTCCCACCTCTTCTCAGAAGACACCTCAAATATACTTTAAAGGCTGGGAGGATCAATAACCTACTTGTCTCCTACAAAACAGGAAATCTGGGGAATTCTATGATCTATCAGCAGCTGGAGGGTTAAATAATGCAATGTTCCTGTACAGTATGTTTCAACCTTGGCAACTTTAAGATGTGTGGACTTCAACTCCCAGAATTCCCCAGCCAGCATTCTGTGTGTTGCTTGTGCAGTGCATATAAAAAGGGGCAGGGCTTTATGGCTGCCATCTTCACTTTTTAGACACCCTCTAAATATCCCTATTAGTTTTCTGTGGTACAATATCTCAAAGAAGCTTGTGGCTTAAATGACTTCTGAAAATCAAAATGTCAACCCAATATTAAGAAAGTATGTACTGAAAGGCATTTATTTTAATACAGGGTCTTCAGATTTGGCCCTTTTATGATTTGTGGACTTTAACTCCCAGAATTCCTCAACCAAGCAGGCTGGCTGAGGAATTCTGAGAGTTGAAGTCCACAAGTCATAAAAGGGCCAAGTTTGAAGACCCCTGTTTTAATATGTACTTAACATATCCAAGTTTATTTTACAAATCACAGCTTTATTCTTGACTGTGAAGAGTATGGTATTTGCTTCAAAAGAGGCATACTGGTTCGCAAGCTAACAAATACATTGATTTTCAGCAGAAGTAGGCAAGGTAACTCTGGTTGCAAGACAAGTGGCTGCTTGAGCTTGTATTTCAGCAACATCTGCCCAACCTGTTCTCTGCTTTACCAGAATAGCTAATTAGAAACTATTACTAAAATAAACCCATATAATTAATTTTCAAATTGAAATGTGGCATGTAATTTGAAAGATTGAAAATAATTTGAAATCAAATAATCTGAAAGATCCAAATTCAGAGGCTGGTGGTATGCAAAACCAGGGGTTTAAATGACTGTGCTTAATTAAAAGCACATACAGGTAGTCCTCGACTTACAACAGTTCATTTAGTGACCGTTCAAAGTTACAACAGCACTGAAAAAGTGACTTTTGACCACTTTTCACACTTAACAACTGTTGCAGTGTCCTCATAGTCACGTGATCAAAATTTGGCCACTTGGCAACTGGCATGTATTTATGACCATTGCTGTATCGCAGGATCACGTGATCACTTTTGCGACCTTCGGACAAGCAAGGTCAATGAGGAAGCCTCATTCACTTAATAACCGTACTACTAATTTAACAAGTGTAGCGATTCACTTAACAACTGTGGCAAGAAGGGTCATAAAATGGGACAAATTCACTTAACAAACGTCTCACTTAGGAACAAAAATTTTGGGCTCAATTGTGGTCGTAAGTCAAGGACTACCTGTATTTGACTTTAAAAAAAACACACACAAATATCTGTTTCGTAATATAGCCATCATCACAAGAAAATGTATAGTGACCAAAATTTTGCTGCCTTTTCTTTTCACAAGTGTGATGCTGTAATTGCTGTTTTCATCATTTCTTCAGTCCTAGGCCAGCATTTCTTCCTGATCCTAATGATGGAAGTCTCTACACTCTTGGTGGCAAGAATAATGAAGGCTTAACTGTACGTATAATTTGATCACAAAGTAATTATTTTGCTCTCACTGAATGAGAAATGCAGTTTTTTCAGACGATCAAAGCATGTTGATCTAGCTTGCCTTGCTGCTTAAGGGAGATCTCTTTTGACAATCGATGTAAAATTCTGATTTTATAAGAAATAATACTAGACAAGAAACCTACATATAGTAACTTTTTTAATTTTTTTTATTTTTTAATTTATTTTATTTAATTTATTTTATTTAATTTATTTATTTTAATTTATTTTATTTAATTTATTTTATTTTTTACCCCAAACAAAAATGTTTTTTTTTACTTTCCCACATTATATATAAATGTACCCTCACTTGACTAACATTTGGAGTTATTTTTAAGAAAAATTAGAAGCTGTAAAACTTCTGCAGAATGGTTTATCTCCAAAGATAAAAATTCATTTCCCAGAGAGCGGTTCTACATTAACAATTGTTGCGAAAGTGCCCACGTGTCCACATTATACAAGATTCAGAGGCCTGTACAGGTAGTCCCCAATTTGTGACCTTGCTAAGCAAGGTGCTATTAAATGAGTCATGCCTGTTTTTATGATCTTTTTTTTTTGCCACAGTTGTTAACTGAATCCTGGGGTCATTAAGCAAATATGACTGTGCCCAGGTGGGAAAGTCATAAATAGCGATCACATTGAACCCAGGATGCTGCCGGTTGCCAAGCACCCAAATTTCAATCGTGACCGTGGAGATGCTGCAACGATGGTTAAGTGTGAGGGCCGGTTATGAGTCACTTTTTTTCATTGCCGTTGTAGCTTCGAACAGTCCTCATAAGACAAGGACTACCTATAGTATGAGTTAGCAATGTCTTACTATTTTAAAACATTGGGCAATTGCAAAGCAAGCAATTGGTTGGAAGAAGAGCAGAAAAAAATGCACAGATGATGGAATAAAAGGTCTTCGCTGCAGCTTGACTAACATGGGTGCATAAATTTCACTAACAAGATTGTTTTTGGCGATAAACAATTCCATCTGCTGTGATTATTAAGTTGTGGCTGCTCTCTTGGAGTAAGATTGTCAAGCCAAAACCAAACCACATTATGGCTTAGGAATATATATGGTCTAGGTTTCTTACTAGAAGGTTGCAGATATACCTGTTTGAAAAATACTTTAAAAGACACTGCAGTGTGGATGTATGATATTTATGCAACCAAGAGAGGCCTGGTGGTCATGATAGGAAATCCTAAACATCTTTTTTACACTGGAATTAGAAATTCTTCCTAAATTTATAGTTGTTTCTGTTCCAATCAGCAAACCAGATCCCCGGTACTGAAGTTGTAAATTTCTCTACATGTTCTGAGGTACTGGTTTTCTCCCGATAAAACTTTTGCATTTACCAAAATGTTGTACAATTGTCTTAGAAGCTTGTTGTCTGTTGGCCCCAACTTTAGGTTTATAATTCCAGGAATGGCATGTGATTATGCTAACATGTCTGGCTGGCCAGGCTGCTTCTTTGGAAGCAGGGAAAACTGACTTCAAAATGTTCATTGTTGCCTTGAGGAAAAGGATTTTGGCTTTGTAATAAGCCTAATAAACACTTTAGCTTATTTTTCAATTACATTACATGTACAATATTGAAAGAAATTAATTGGACTTGGGAGCATCTTTTGATGAGTCTAGAAGAGAGCCAGGCAATTAATTATAGTCTCGGGATCAGCAAGCAAGCATCAAAAAGTCCACCCTATTCCAGGAATAGATGGATGCGATAACTACATTGGTTCCACGATTAATTTTAGACCATAGTGCCTGTCTCCTTCTTTGCAAAGTGTGTAAGGGTTAAATAGGAGTGATGTTGCTTTCTGTTGCTTAGTTACTTAAGAACAGCAGCTTTATGATGAAACAGATTAAATTTGGCTTTCTAAGAAGTTTTTTTTCTTCCTGAAACTGTTGACTTCCTCTTACAATTTTGGAAAAAAATTGTATTTCCTCTCAAATTGTCCTAAAGGCACAGTGGTAACATTTTCTTTAGTTAGAGCAATCTCATTTTCTTTAGTTAAAGCAATCTGAAATTAAAGAAGATAGCAGCTGATGGGGAAAAATGTTTCTCTCGGTATTGAATGGGAATTGCAAGACATCTGAAAAGCAGCAAGTTGGAGAAGGCTGAAATAGGCAGCAAGAAACGAAGAAATAGGTTTTCCCAGTATAAGTCACCTTTTATCCGTCTTCTGTGTAGGTGACAACCTTTTCTTAATACTTTGTTAGCACTTGCAGCCTTTAGAGCAGACATGTCAAACACAAGGCCCAGGGGCCGGATGCGGCCCACAGAGTGGTTTCATGTGGCCCGTGAAGCCATCCTGGAAACAGTGAGGGAACGGCCTCTTCTGCCTTGGCCCTGGCCCAGGCCAGCCGGGAGCCAATGTACAATTTTGTGGTGGCCATCTATGCTGAAACGCATTCAGTCTTAGCTCCACAAGGCTGTCTGGAAACAGTGAGGAACCAGCCCCTGTCGTGTCGGCCCCGCCGCCTGGGTGCATGCTGGGGAAGTGTCACCCTTTGTGAGGAATGAAGAAATGGACCATGCCTTGGCACTTGCCCCAGTCCCACCCCCTTCTGCCAGAGACCCTCAGATCTGTCCCACTCCTGCCCAGGCCCCCACAGGCACCCTTGACACGAACAATGTAGAGCTGTCCATGCCCACCCAGTAGGCCGCACCCACCCTGACCACACACCCCCCGAGGGCAACCGCAATGCTGATGCGGCCCTCAATGAAATTGAGTTTGACACCTCTGCTTTAGAGTGTTAAGAAGGCGTTACTTTAGATCTTTGAAGTGTACTGAGGTCCTGAAGGTGGCAATTATGCTAGACTTTTCATCTTCCCACAAGAAAGTAGAAATGATACTGTGTTTAGAAATCATTCTAAAATGCACTTTACTCAAGTGGTTTAGTATGTTCTCACCAATTTCTTAGGAAGATTGAGATCTGTTTCATAGTATATTGTACTACCTCAGTACAGGAAACATGTTTTTTTTTCCTGCCCACAGACCTGAAATATGAAACGTGAAGTACTTTTTGTGGTCTTGAACTTTTTGACCATGCCTTTTTATATTTTTTTAATGTTTAATGTAGAACAGCTCTCTCTAGCCGTGTGCCCTCCAGATGTGTTGGGATTACAAATCCTAGAATCCCCAGTTGGCATGGCTACTGGCAAAGACTCTGCAATCAGAGGGTAGTATGGGTGTGAGAATAGGGGTGATACAGATATACCACAGTGCCTCTATTTTTATCTCTAGAATCTAGAAGTTGTAGATTGCTTTTTACTTTATAGATATTAAAATACTACATTATTTTACCCCTGCTATGACTGGCCTGCTTGAGTTTAGATACATCTTTATAGTGGGTCTATGTCATATGTGTGTTGCAGTTTTGTGATACACAGGTGTGAGGATAAGGTAGGTGTTGCAAACAGGTATCCAGTGTGTAACTATCACATAAAGTGGATGAATGCACTGTATTGTATGTTCTTCCAAATGATCACAGTCCTGGGCACCATGTGGAACTTTACGTTCTGTGCTAAGCTTTGTTAGCAAGATAATTAGTCAGTGCTGAAAGTGGGCACTTCGGCTTTCACTGCTCACGTTGGAGTTATTGCATTTCTAGAGATATCCAGAGCAGGAGCATTGGCTATTGATTGGGAAGATCAAGATCAGCTCATTGAGTCATTTTGGGCTGTTCCTCAGTTCTTAGCTTCTCAAGGTTATTGTGAGTTTAAAACACAGAGGATTGTACATGCTACCCTGAACTCCTTTGAGGAAGTTCAAAACTTAAGTATACATTTAAAAGACAGTTTGCTTTTCTTTTTAGACAAATAATTACACTGAGAAGACAGGGTCTTTTTTTGTTTTGTTTGGGAAGGTTGATTTATGATGTATTTCTCTTTTGCTACGCATGCCAATGTGTTCCATTTTAGTCTCTTCTGTGATCATACCTTGCAGGGTTTTAGAGCAAATAGACGTACCATCTTCCTCCACTCTTAAAAGAAATGTGCATTATAGAGCAGTAGCACTTGTTTCTTTTTCCTGGACTTGCTTCTCAAAATAGAAACCCAAGATACTCCCTGGGGAATGTGAACAAAGTTCCAATCGATAGTAAAATAAGGGAGATAAACCGTATATTTAGCAAAAAGGATGCAAGAGTAAATAGGCCAAAAAGCAAGACTTACAGATACTTCTTCTCTGGGAAAATAGCATTGACCCAAAATCAATACTGCAGAGTTACTGCTGATATAAATCTTTGTCGTTTTGTGTGACGCAAGGCAAATGCAGATTGCAGATATTGCTAATTGGTGTTGACGTACATGGAACAACTAGCATCTGGAAATCCTCTTCAATAACAACCTGCTTTGAAATGGGATTCATCAGTTGTCTTTACCTTGCAATCCTTGCTAAATGTTTGATATGAAGTGAAGATGGCTAATATGAATATTTATATTCTAGAAACTGCCATTCACCATCCCAGAGCTTGTCCAGGCTTCCCCTTGCCGCAGTTCCGATGGAATTCTATACATGGGTAATGTTCCATTTCCTTCTGAAAAATAACATTTGCATGGATTTTATTGCGTTTCCATGTGAGTATAAAACACAGGGTATGCGCCTCCAGAATACTTGCATGGAATCTTTTTTTTTCCATTACAGCCCTCGGATATGTTCTCATGTTTAAATCTAATTTCTAATGCAACAACCCAAAGATTACTTTGTCATTTTGATGCAATGAAGTTAATTTAGAAATCCTTTGTGTGCTGAGTACAATGTTATGTTTGACAGACTACCAAGAACTGTCTCCATATTGCAGTTATGTAGGGTTATTCTTTGCTTGTTTGACTTTGGGCTTTTTGTTTGTTTTGGGATTACCTGAATTTTACTTAATCTTCAGCAGTTAATTCACTGGCTGGATTTTTGCCAATGCTGTGAGCTTCTGTTATTTTGTGTTCATAGAAGACTCAGATGATAAAGTATATCTCTCAGTGGCTAGTAGGCAGGAAACTGATTCTGAAAATACAGATAGTCTTCAGCTTACGACCACGATTAAAACTGGAACTTCCATTGATAAGCAAGGCTAGCGTTACATTGAGTCATGCTCAGTTTTTTATTATTTTGTTTATTGAGTTTATATTTATGAAATTTTTTGCCATGGTTATTAAGTGAATCACCTCTGTTGTTAAGTGAGTTACAAAGTCATTAAGTGACTCCAGCTTCCCCTATTGACTTTGCTAATAGGAAGTTGACTAGGAAAGTCACCAATGGAAATCACTTGACCCCAGGGCATTGCAGCCATCATAAATACATATTGGTTGCCAAGAATACAAATTCTTATTACCTGAATAGGGGAATGCTGGTCATAAGTAATTTCGTCAGCACCAACATAAGTTTGAATGGTCACTAAACAAATGGTCGTAAATTGAGGACTACCTGCATTACTTCCCTTCAAACCTAATTATGCTCATGTTGATGTTTACTATTAGGGAAGAAGCAGGACAGCTGGTATGTAGTAGACCTTGCAACAGGAGAAAAACAGCAGACTTTAACCTCTTCATTTGCTGAAAGCTTGTGCCCATCTACCTCACTGCTGTATCTTGGTCGAACAGGTAAGAAGGTTTTGAAAGCCAAGCCATTCGAAAGGGAGATGCTTCTACTGAAGTCCTTTATTTAGGCTGCCATCCTGGAGTCCCTAGGAGGACATCCATCCTGATTCCTCAGAGATCAGAGTGGACATTCTTGCACCTCAGCCTCTGAGATGGCTTTGTGTCAGTGTTATACTAATACTTCTGGGTCAGAAGCACCAAAGTGCTTTCGCAGTGAAAGGATTTGCTGGTGACATCATAGTTGCCTGGGGGATGCTCTGTTGGTGGCTCCTTTCTCATCCCCATTGCCCACCGAAGTGATACCCATTTATCTACTTGTGGTCGCTTGCTTTCCAACCGCTGGGTTGGCAGGAGCTGCAGCATGTGACGGGAGCTCACCCCGCCCCGTGGCAGCAACAGGTCTCAAACGTGAGCCTGCCGACCGTCAGCCTAGCGTCCTAACCTTGTGAGCCACTGCAGTCCTTTGTGTCACTGTTGAAAAAGCTAAAATGAGGCTCACCATTCTGCAGGACTCAAGAGACTTCCACAGGTAATCCATGCCAGCACAAGAGTTAGCTTATGAGTGTTCCCTTCGTTTAGTGCAGTGTTTCTCAACCTTGGCAACTTTACGAGTGTGGACTTCAACTCCCAGAATGGAGAATTTTGGGAGTTGAAGTCCACACATCGTAAAGTTGCCAAGGTTAAGAAACACTGGTTTAGTGAGTGGGGCTCTCTCTCTCTGACTCTGTCTCTGTCTCTGTCTCTGTCTCTGTCTCTGTCTCTGTCTCTGTCTCTCTCTCTCTCTCTCTCTCTCTCTCTCTCTCTCTCTCTCTCTCTCTCTCTCTGTGTGTGTGTGTGTGTGTGTACACATGCAGTGTGTCTTAGATCACCTGTGGAGGAAAAGGGAACAACATTTCTTCAGTCCTGCTCATTGCTGGAATATTTCAGGCTCATAGATAGGGTTGCTTTATAAAAATGAAGGCCTTATACCAGGGGTAGGCAACCTTGGCTCTTTTATGACTTGTGGACTTCAACTCCCAGAATTCTGGGAGTTGAAGTCCACAAGTCATAAAAGAGCCAAGGTTGCCTAACCCTGCCTTATTCCAAGAGATCAGATTAGCCTCCCACTCACAATGAGATAGTGCTGCTTGCTGATATTCAGTGAAGTATGCTGAGGCTTCGTCTAATGAGAAAACTGCTTAGTAATATCTGATTCCGTAAAGATCGCAAAAGGTCTGCTGGATTAGACTGAAATCTTTTTTTCTCCCACAATGGCCAACCAGAGGCTGGTAAGAATTCCCCAGAATTCCAAAGTACACTTTTGCTCTGCATGCTAGAAGGAAGAGACTTGAAGCCATGGTCATTCTTTTCTCCTTCACCAAACGTTGTTTTCCTTTCGACAGAGTATACCATCACCATGTACGACACCAAGAGTAAGGAACTCCGCTGGAATGCCACCTACTTCAATTACGCGGCAACATTGCCTGATGAAGACGCCCAATATAGTAAGAATATTAATCCTTCTGCACTTGCAGGCTGCGGCAATAAGACCGCTTGTTTTGCCTAACGATGAAGACGTGTCGGTTTTTATCTGTGCCCGTTCCAGAAATGTCTCACTTTGCATCTAATGGAGATGGACTAGTGGTGACCGTGGACAGTGAGTCGGGCGATGTCTTGTGGATCCAGAATTACGGCTCCCCTGTTGTAGCTTTTTACATCTGGCAGCGGGAAGGCTTATGGAAAGTGATGCACACCAACGTGGGAGTAGAAACCCTGCGCTACTTGACGTTCATGTCCGGTGAAGTTGGGCGCATCACTAAGTGGAAATATCCATTTCCCAAAGAAACGGAGGCCAAAAGCAAACTAATGTGAGTGTAAGAGGCTTTTTCTCCCAATCATGGCCTGTTTGGTGGTTTGTCAGAAATTGTGCATTTAGTGTCATCAGATCAGCTCAGTCATTCTCTTGCAAGGATTCAGTAATCAATCTGATTCGGTATGGGATTCAAATACGGTCTCCCTTTACAGGTAGTCCTTGACTTACAACAGTTCAGTTAGTGACCGTTCAAATTACAAGGACAGTGAAAAAAGTGACTTATGTCTGTTTTTCACACTTGCAACTGTTGCAGCCTCCCCGTGGTTACGTGATCAAAACTGGGATGCTTGGCAACTGGCATGAATTATGACGGCTGCAGTGTCGCTAGGTCATGCAATCCCTTTTTGTGACCTCAGACAAGCACAGCCCATGGGGAAGCCGGATACACTTAACAACTGTGTTATTAACAGTGGCAGTGATTCACTTAACAACTGTAGCAAGAAAGGTCATAAAATGGGGCAAAACTCACTTAACGGCTGTTTTACTTAACAACAGAAATTTTGTGCTCAATTGTGGTCATAAGTTGAGAACTGCCTGTATTTGCCAACATCCTGTTTCATTTTACTTTATGGGTTACAGAGGAAGAGCAATTTGCGTTAAAAAGAATTCAAATATCCTAGACTCCAGATGCCTCTTCTCTTGCCATTATTAAGACTTGCTCAAGAGAAACTTAACAGGCAACGTTAACGCCAACCCCAAAACAAGAGCAAAAATAAGCTTCTGCACAGGGCCGCAAAAGATGCAAATAGAAATCTAAGGTTTGCTTTCTGTTGCAAGGACATCTCCTAGACAGTTTGAATAAAACCCTGCAGATGTAGACAGGTGTGGTAGACATTTAGCCAAAGGGTTAGGTGGGAACTGTTTTGCCTGAGGCCTGAATGTCTCTCTAGGACAGTGATGGCGAACCTTTTAGAGTCTGAGTGCCCAAAACCCACCCCGCCCCCATCCTGTCCTGGCTCCGCCCCTGCTCTACCCACCCCTGTCCCAGCCCGCCCACCCCCTGCCCGCCCGCAGGGCCACCCACCGCAGATCGCCCAGGCGGCCCAACAGCACCATGACAACCATGCCTTCCACCTGCACCCTGCAGCATCAACTGTGCGCAATGGGGTGCGAGGGCGGAGTCTTGTCCCCGCTGCCCAGCTGCCATGTCCTTGACTGTGCTGCTCCATGTGGGCCGCGCTCGGGGGTGACTCTCCTCTGGGGGGACTGATGATGAGGCGGCCGCGGGGGGAGGTGGGGCTGAGGCAACAGTGCGCGTGCCCACAGAGAGGGCTCTGAGTGCCACCTCTGGCACGCGTGCCATGGGTTCACCACCACTGCTCTAGGACATATTTTGAGGGCAGCCATTAATGATCATTGCTGGGTGCATTGTTCACTACATCAGTGGTCCTAATGCAGTGAGCCATATGTACTAGTTGTGTGTATGTGTGTGACACAGGCATGGGTGCAAGGAAAATCAAGCCTGTGCCAGTAGTTAATCCATACCCCCCAAAAAATGTTACCACCCTTTTGTAGCACTTGAAAAAAACTCTTCCATATAGAGGTGGTACTGCCAGATGTTACCCAGAAACCGGGGGGAAAGCTCCACATTTAAAACTTGCTTATTCTTTCTGACCTGTCCTTTTTTTTGTGAATGCATATTGGCCTAGTAAGCATAAATTTGTTGAGAACAATATTTACAGGTGAGGATGTATAACTGAAAATAGAGAGAGGGAGAAGGAAAGGAGAGGAGAGGGTGTGTATTGTTCAAGTCTGCATTAAGACCTTGGTAATTCCTTGGCACGCTGATCTTTGCAAGGCTTTTCTGCAAGAATAAGCCTAAGGCAATCAACATAATCCTGGACAGATAGTCCTTGACTTACCATCATTCATTTCGTGACTGTTTAAATTTTCAGTGCCGGGGGAAAAAAAAACAAACTTACAAGTGGTTCTCACACTTACAACCATTGCAGCATCCTCCTGGTCACATGATCAAAATTTGAGTGCTTGGCATGTATTTACAGTGGTTGTAGCGTCTCAGGATCATGCGATCACCGTTTACGACCTTCCCAGTTGGCTTCCAACAAGCAGAGTCAATGGGGGAAGCCAGATTCACTTAATGACCGCATGATTCGCTTAACTGCAGTGATTCAGTTAACAACCATCGCAAACAATGTCGTAAAATCGGACACGATGCATTTAACTGCCTTGCTTAGCAGTGGAAATTCTGGTTCCACTTGTGGTCCTATAAGTCAAGGACATCCTGCAGTTCTTCAATCAGTCTCTTATTTGAGAACCCATAATAATAGGTTCAGATCAAGTGTCCATTTCTGTTTATTTCCAAGACCAATTTCAAGGCAAAGTTTATTTCCTTGTTTCCCTATTTTCACAATCTTTCTTAACGTAAAACATTTGCATAAGCCTCGGGCACTGTGCCTGTTGGTCCTGCTGCATGATATAGGCATGGCACTATTAACTTTTTCTTCCTGATTCCCAATGTTCTTCCTCTAGGCCAACCCTTTATGTAGGGAAATACTCTACCGGCTTATATGCTTCGCCATCGATGGTACACGAAGGAGTGGCTATTATGGTAAGTGTGCAGAGCTGATGTAACCCACAAATCAGATCTCCCGCTTCTTTGCCTATTCTACCACAGTTTGGATTTATACCCAGAATATTTAATGAATATTTCCCTTTATTTGGTTTAATTAAAGAGAAAAAAAATACTTGGAATTCTTAAGTCTAAGCTATCTGGTGACCCCACATGTTTTGGATGCCATGTTTAGGAATTCTTGCCAGCATGACTGGCAGCATTGGCATGTGTGAATTACGGTTCCAAATTTCTGAAAAGCATAAGCTGCCTATCCCCCAACTGAGTAACAAAAAATGGAAAACTATGTGAATTCCACAGACTGAGAGCTATGCATAAATGTGCAATGTTTAAATCCATGGACACATTTATTTTGTTTTAACATTTGTAAAGTATTAGATGTTCCATTCCTGTACCTAAAGATTCCACATTTTTGTCGTCCTTCCTCTCTCTTCCTCTAGCCTCGGGGAAGTCCCATTCCATTGATAGAAGGCCCCAAAATACAAGGGATCACCATTGAAGAATGTGTGATCACCCCAAGTACAGATCTAAGGTTTCAGCCTGGATTCAAATCAAAGAAAGGACTCCATTTTCTGAGGAACCACTGGCTTTTAATAGGTACCTGAAAGGCTTTTTCTACATTATACTGCCCTCTGGTGAACAAAATGCAAAGTTAAAATAAGTATTACACTCTTGAAGCATACTACTGCTCAAATCAACCCAACTGTGTTTCCATTTCCTTTTTGATGGATTTTTAATAAACAAGAGATGGAGAAATTATGAAATTCTCTTCTCTGTGAATATACTAACAATAATGCACAAAAAGTATTTTTGTAGAAGCCTGTCAATTGCTACCACATTATAACTTGTTTAATTTAAAGTTCTCTGTATTTCTGACTTTTGCAAAATATGTGTGAGGAAGGGGAACTTGGAAGGGAAAAAGTCCATTTAAGTATAATAACATTATTATGTACAAAAGCATGTCCAGAGTTACATCTGAGCTTCTGACTTGTTGAGTTCATATGCTATCAGTAAGTTGAAAACCAGATCTGAAGTTTTAATGAATTAGTGATTCTTTTCAAATCCTGGGTAATTAATGTAAAGGATACAATATAGCAATAAATTTATATACTGCTTCACAAAGGTTTACAGCCCTCTGTAAGTGGTTCACACAATCAGCATATTGCCCCCAACAATCTGGGTCCTCATTTTACCAAAGAGTGAAAGGCTGAGTCAACCTTAAGCCAGTGAGAATTGATCTGCTAGCAGCCACTGGGCCACCACAGCTCTTATGCAACTATTCCACAGAAGTATTCCACAATAGAATTCAGAACCAAAATACATCATGGTTGCCCTCTCTTTTAAGTGAGAGGGGTAAACTCTGGTGTAAAGAACTTTTGGCTCTGGATATTTGAAGAACTACAACTACCCAGCATTCTCAGCTAACCTGGTTAATGAGGAGGGATGCTGGGAAGAGATGACAACCAACCTCTGGAGCAGTACAGATTCTAGTCTTAGAAGGCAACTGTATGAGTGACTGCTACAATGATAGCTGAGTGGAAGGAACCTCAGCAGTCAGACACAACCACCCTTGGGAACAAATAACAAGGAAGGACTGTTATTGGCTTCCAAGAAATTGGCCACTATCGGAAATTGAATTGTGAGTTAAATTAACCTTTGGTCATCTAAGTGGGACTGTTCCTTGTTTTCTTGTACTCTTGATCCTGCTGCCATATTTTTGAGCCATTCAGATGAAGGTATACTGTGTGAAACTGTTTCGTGGACATTTTATTTTCCTTTGGGAATAACAGAAACCATATTCCTATTTGAAGGGCATCATGAGACCCCATTATCAGCCTCAACCAGGATCCTGGAGAAATTTCCAAGCAACTTGCCTAAACGTCAGGAAAATGTGATCCCGGCAGATTCAGACAAAAAAGTTTTTGAAGAGGTTTGTTTGTTTGTTTGTTTGTTTGTTTTAAAAAACCCAGTCTTTGTTAACAAATTTACAAAGAGAAGTGACTATTCCACTTCAAAATGGAATTGTTGCATTTCATCTGCTAGGACAGGGGTAGGCAACCTTGGCTCTTTTATGACTCGTGGACTTCAACTCCCAGAATTCCTGAACCAGTGATTTTATAGGTCTCACAGAGGACTAGGAGATCAAGGGTGGGCGGGCTTCCTGTGTAACATGGTAAGGACCCCAGTTATATATTCAAAGGTTAGGAGCCCTGCAGGAATTAAATTAAACATGCCTGACCTCTGGGTGAGAGTTGACCGAGGGCCATATGCAAGAGTGAAATGTCCAATTAAAAAATATTGGTAGCCCATGTTGTAAAGTAAACAGAAAAAACAGATCAACTACCGGTAGGAGGGAGCTGGCTAATTTCTACATTGAATTATGTAGAAATTGAAATAATTCTCATAAATCTGAAATGTTGCGAAACTGTCAACATTAAACCTAATCCTTGAAAGCTTGTAATGTTCACTTGGGTATATTTTGGCTGGGGACGGTTTTCATACCCTCTTAGCAAGGCTGAACATTGTATCTTTGCATTGTTTTCTCTAACTGTATGCTAACTGTTGAAGAAACAAACTTACATTGTATTGTAAGCATCTACGCTGTCGTGGCAGAGAGGGGAGCAGTCAAACTGATGCGGTTCTTGCTTCTCAGGCAATTAATATGGCCGGCAGTCCCGGGAAGAATTTGCCGCACCCTGTTCCAGAGACGGCTGCAGAGACAACCAGCCAAACCACGACCCGACCAGAGGCTCCAGTGGATTCCATCTTGAAGGACTTTGCCACCGTTCTCTTGAGCACTTTCCTGCTTGTTGGCTGGGTAGCCTTTGTTATTACCTACCCCATGGTAGGTGTGTAATCATCATTTTAAGGCAGTACAGGAAATCCTTGACTTACGACCACAACTGACCCCAAAATTTATGCTGTTAAGTGAGAAATTTGTTGCGAGTTTTGCCCCATTTTATGACCTTTTTTGCCACATTCCTTAAATGTATCGCTGCAGTTGTTGTTAGTAACAAAGTTGTTAAGTGAATCTGGCTCCCTCATTGACTTTGCTTGTGAGAAGGTTGCAGAAGGGGATCCCATGACCCTGGGACACTGCAACTGTCATAAATATGAGTCAGTTGCCAAGCATCTGGATTTTATTCACGCGACTGTGGGGATCTGCAATGGTCATACTGTAAGTGTGAAAAATGGTCATAAGTCATTTTTTTTCAATGCCTCTGTAACTTTGATTGGTCACTAAACGAGCTGTTGTAAGTCAAGGACTGCCTGTATCAATGTTTGAATTAATTTTATGAACTCTTAAACCATGTCTTAATAATATAACAACAGTATTGGTTGGGCATGGATAAGGAGATATAGACGTGTTCAGGTTTTTGACGAGGAACCCCTTAGACTAGTGATGGCGAACCTTTTAGAGACCGAGTGCCCAAACTGCAACCCGAAATCCACTTATGTATCATCAGGTGCCAGGTGGGTGTGACCCATTGGGTGGGTGTGGCCCATTGGGTGGGCGTAGCTGCGGTGGTAACGGCAGACTGGGTGGGACTAAAAAGTTCAATAAATCAATTCCAACTTTGCGAGATCTTTTTTTTCCCACAAGAAGTTGAAATTGATTGATTGATTGAACCTTTTTTTTTTTTTGCACACGGTGGCGGAGGCCTAAAGTGAAAAGGTTTTATAAAACCCAGCTGAAGGCCTAGGACTGGGGCGACGGCGCGCGTGCCCACAGAGAGGGCTCTACGTTCGCCACCACGGCCTTAGACATTCCAGATCAATCAGTTTCTGCTTTCTTAGTGAAAAGTAAAATAAATATTTTTAATTTAAAAAACCCTCTATTTTGGATTTACCAAGAATTTTCTATATCATTAAAAACACGTGAAATTAGACTTCTATGGAGTTGGGCAGTCTGGTATGAAAATTAAAGCCAACAATGATATTCTACTTAATCATTACATAGCACATCCTTATGTCAATGAATTTGGTACTACTGAATCTCTTCAGAAGTTTTCCTCAACCAAGTGTCTCCCGCCTCTTAGTATCACTGTTCCCAGAATTAACTGCATATGGCATTGAAAACATGATTGAAGGGGGGAAAGGAAAGAGAGGGCCTTATGAACTCTTTTAAGCTCATTCATGTTGCTTAAGATTATTTTTATTCTTTTAAGAACATGCACCATCAGCAACAGCACCAACAGTTCCAGAAACAGATAGAAGAGAAGCTACAGTTGTTGAAGCAACAGCCTTTCAGACCTCCCATAGATCTTCCTCCTGAGGCAGAACTTCTGGAAGGTTCTTGTGTCAGGCAAGATGGCTCAGCCACCAGTTCACCAAGTATGTCGCCGAAGACGTCAAACCACTCTGCGTACTCCAATCTCTCCGTCTCTGATGTTGGAAGCTGCCTTTCCACCGAACCTGAAGGAGGTGCTAAAACTCGACTAAATATTTTATTTTATTTTGCCCAGTGGGATTTTGATTAATGATATTTTCCATCAAGCCTAGTGGGTCAGAGTTGGGGGCTTGGGCACTGCGTCTGTGTTATTTTTTAAGATCAGGTTTGTATTAGTGTGATCTAATCTGATTTTGAACACTAGATGAAAACCTCATACAATTGTCCACTAAGCCAGTGTGCGTCTTCTCTAGCACAGGTCCTCCACTGTACAATGTTTCTCAACCTAATGGGAACATTTCAGGATTTGTTATCTTCAGGTGAAGGGTTAGAAAATTGATCCAGCAACCTTTTTTGTCTGGATCTTTTCTGCATTGAAGGGGGGGACGGGTGTCAACCTATTATCCAAAGCACCTGAAGGCAGAACAAGAAGCAACGGATGGAAACTACTTAAGGAGAGAACCAATCTAAAACTAAGGAGAAATTTCCAGACAGTGAGGACAATTAACCAGTGGAACAGCTTGCCTTCAGACGTTGTGGGTGCTCCATCACTGGAGGTTTTTAAGAAGAGACTACGCAGCCACTTGTCTCAAACTGTATAGGGTCTCCTGCTTGAGCAGGGGGCTGGACTAGAAGACCTCCAAGGTCCTTTCCAGCTTTATTCTGATTGGATTGGAATTCAATCCCCATAATTGTTAGAAATCATGCATAATAGCCACGCTGATTAGGCATCATGCGAACTGAAATCCAACACATCTAGACTACACCGGGTGAGTGAAGCTGTGTTACAGCAATGCAGGTTAACAAAATCTTAAGTCCATGAGCTACCACCTTATTGATGCTACTTTAGCATTTGTTTCTTTAGTATATTTGAATTGCCGTTGTTGCCTTTGAAGTCTTGAATGCCTCAGAAAAACTTTCTTAATTCCTTTTATACCTTTATCTTGGCTTTTGGAGCTGATACTTTAAACAGATACTGAGAAGTGTATTGTGTGGCTCTTTTTCTTCCCTCTTTCATGGGTTTTCAGATGGAAAGTCAGGCACCATTGTGGTTGGAAAGATTTCATTCAATCCGAAGGATGTCCTTGGACATGGAGCCGAGGGAACAATTGTTTACAGGTAAAACCAAAAGATACCTTTTCAGGAAATATTTCGTAATCTAGTGTTTCATTGATGCGTTTACAACAAATTAATATAACTAGACAGATATCCATGCAGCTCTATACAGGTAATCCTGAACTTAAGACCGGTTCTTTAATGATTGTTTGAAGTTATGACAAATTTAAGAGAAGTTACTTATGACCCATCCTCAAAGTTACGACTGCCCTCCCCTGCAATCATGTGATTGCATTTTGGGTGTTTGGCAACCATTTACAATCAGTTGCAGTGTTCCGCAGTCACATGATCACAATTTGCTATGATTTTTGCCATTTTTCCAGCAACACCTATATGCTGGATTCACTTAACAATCACATGATTCACTTAAGAACCACATGATTCACTTAAGAGCCACATATTTCACTTAACAACCATGGTAACTTACTTTAGGACCATTGTAAAAATGGTGGTAAAATCAAATCTGCTCACATGGTGCCTTGACTTACAGCCACAATGGCTTATAACAAAATTCCAGGTTCTATTGTCATAAGTCGAGGACTACCCGTATATTGTTGAGAGAGAGACCAGCCTTTCTTAAATTTTCCTTCATAGCATAAAATCCGTGTTGATCTACCTTTTTACTAATTGTGTGAACTAGGCCTCGTGGCCCCCAACCTTTTGGGCATCAGGGACTGGTTCCGTGGAGGGCGGCTTTTCCACAAACCAGAGGGGGGCTAATTTCGCATGCTGCCTGGATCCTGCGCATGTGCGGATGAGGCCTTGCTTGCTTGTGCAGCCTGGTTCCTAGTGGGCTGCAGACCAGTACAGGTCCAGGGTCTGAGGGTTGAGGACCCCTGCTTTAGGCCATCAAGTGTGGCTCAGTTTAAGAACTTAAATTAATACATGGCTGAACAGAACCTATCCATCATCGCTTTTCTGGGTTACTGATCCCACAGTCTACCTGCTTTTCCTAATGTTCAGTCAGAATCTGCCTCCCTGTAACTTAGATCTATTGTTCCATTTTATATATTCTAGAATGAACGATGGCACACGGGTTCTGATCTTTTTTTCAGCATGCCCCTTCAGATACCTGAAACGTGCTACTAAATGCACACGTTTGCTCCGATTATCTGTGCTTTTTGGGGTGCTGTGAAATTATACGTGGATGATGCAATCTGCCTTTCCTGTTCATTCAATCTTAGAAGAGACTCAGGCGGTATCCCTGTTTGTTTATTGTAGCCCTGACAGTTTTTTTCACTTCCTGTCCCATCTTACTTCCTTAGCAGAAAGATTCTTCCAGAGATAAAGAAGAAGTTTTACCCTGTGACTTTATACTAAGAACTTTGCACAGTGTATCTCTTGGCTACCCATGTCACTTTTTATTTTCCGGTTAGAAAAATAAGCTACCCTTTGACAGTGGCCTCCTTGCAATACTATAACCAGCCCCCCCAATAAATGTATCCACAGCCTAGGATATTCTTCCTTCTAAACCAGATTAAAATTCTCTTGAAATACTGTTGTAAGCTTCTTCATGCCATATTAGAGGTGAGATCCTAACTGACTTCATGGATGAATGTTAAGTCATTGCCCCCTTGTATGTTGGAATATTCACAGGGGCACGTTTGACAACAGAGATGTTGCTGTGAAGAGAATTCTCCCCGAATGTTTCAGTTTTGCTGACCGGGAGGTCCAGCTGCTCCGTGAATCTGATGAACATCCTAATGTAATCCGCTATTTCTGCACAGAGCGGGACCGCCAGTTCCAGTACATTGCTCTGGAACTCTGCGCTGCCACCTTGCAGGAGGTAAACCAGTCCAGTCGCCTTTCGAAAAAGCACCTTTGGGATGTTGGTTGAGTGTGGCAACCAAAACAAATCTCGTTGCACCCCCAAGCTATGCACCTCCTATGGCAGCGGTTCTCAACCTATGGGTCGCAACCCCATTTGGGGTCGATCGACCATTTCACGGGGGTCGCCAAGCAAGGCTGTCCGCCATTTTTTTCCCCCTTTTCCGGCGGGTGCCTTACCTCCCTTGAGCTGGGCCAGCTGGTGGTCGGCCTGCTCCGTCTCTGCCGCTTGCCAGCTACGCCTCGGCCGGCGCAGGGGGCGGAACCGCACATGCGCGGCGCTCCCAGGCAGGGAAAGTCCTCGACTTACGACCGGTTGGGTAGTCCTCGACTTACGACCGGTTTAGTCCTCAACTTACGACCGGTTCAGTCCTCGACTTACGACTGGTTGGGGGTCGCGGCATTAAAAAGGTTGAGAACCACTGTCCTATGGTATCTGTAGGTAGCAGGCATAGTTCCGAGATTTTCTCCCCTTTGCATCTCACTCACTAGGAATCTTTTTGGCTCTCCTTTAATTTGAAAGCTTTGCCTCTTATATCTCTTGCTCTCAAGTAAACTTTCTATCTCTTCTTCCGTTGTCTCCTAGGTCCCTTGTCTCCTTAGGCTACCTCTTCCTCCTTTTCCTGCCCAGGCCAATTTTCTGCTGCTTCTCCTCTCCTGTCTCCCTTTGTGCATCTCTCTCCATGTCAAATCTGCTGGGGTCTGGTGGAGTCTCTGAATTTATAGCTCCACAACAGAATCTGTTTTTGCCTCTTTCCAATTACACAGCTGCGTAACTTGATTTTTCGCACCCAAACTTTTCAGAGCAAGTCCCTACCGATCTACACCAGATTCATTCATTTCCCAACTCTACCGCTACTTTATGGGTTGCACATTTTATGGGAATTGTAGTCCAAACACCAGAAGGTCATTTGGTTACCTCTCCTACAGAAGTCTGTGGAGATTCTCAAACATCTAAGTCATGGTTGTCCCAGTTTTTTCCCCCTTGAAAATATTTCGCTTCTCATCCAAGAAGCTTCTTCAGTTCTGACAGAATGGTTCAGTTCAGTCAGAACTGAAGAAGGTCCTTGGATGAGAAGTGAAATGTTTTCAAGGAAAAAAACCCAAGGAAGTTCAGTTGCCTTTTGGAAAAGCACCTTTGGGACTCTCTTACAGAAGTTACACAGCCCAATCAAATGCAGACTTACTGCTTGGTCTGCTTTCTAGAAAGACTACCAAGCATTGCAGTGTTAATCTCAATCTGATTTTGTCTATGTGTAATTTTAGTATTTGGAACAGAAGGACTTTGGCAATCACGGCTTGCAGCCAATCACCCTCTTACAGCAGACCATGTCTGGTCTGGCTTATCTTCACTCTCTCAATATAGGTAAGAAGCCCTTTTATTTGAATGGGCAGCTCTCTCATGCATGTATTGAGGGAAAAATTGGAGGCTTAGCTTGGGGTGGCAGGATAATATTTTTCAGGAAATTGAGGCAGATTCCGGGGTTGTGAGATGGAAAGTAAACAAGCTGAAGCCAGGAGCTACTGTTCTATCTGATGGCAGCATTATATATCTGGTTGATGAGAAGATGAGAGATCAACGTAACAAAGATGGGATAAAAATGTAGCAAATAAATATATAATGAGGGGACACTAAAGAGCTGAGTATCTCTTTTAGTGAGCTGCATACCCCATAAAGTATAGCAGTGATGGCGAACCTTTTAGAGACTGAGTGCCCAAAAACTGGCCCATCCCCCGGCCTGCCCCCTGCTCCGCCTGCCCGCAGGGCCACTCACCACAGATCGCCCAGGCGGCCTTACAGCGCCATGGCCACGCCCTCCGCCCACACCCGGCAACAACATCTGCATGTGATGGGGTGCGAGTGCGGAGTCTTGCCCCTGCTGCCCGGCTGCATGTGCTTGGTTGCGCTGCTCCGCGTGGGCCGCGCCTGGGGGAGACTCTCTTCCGGGCAGGCTGCTGGTGAAGAGGGAGTTGCGGGGGGAGGCAGGGCTAGGGCAACGGCGCACGTGCCCACAGAGAGGGCTCCGAGTGCCACCTCTGGCACGCGTGCCATAGGTTCGCCACCACTGAAGTATAGGGTTGACTTTCTTCTCTAAGAGGAAAAGTGGGAAAGATGCATGTTATTAAAAGGTCATTTCTCCATTACTGACTTTATATCTTTACAACAATGGCGGAGGGTGTGTGTGCTACAAAGAAGCATCCCCCAGCCATCATCATATCAATATAAAATATATACTTGGGACTTCAATCGAACCACAGCATTTCGGTGATGACAGATGATGTCATAAATCACCAGGGTGGGAATAACCCAAGTCTATAATCAGATGGTTTTTGAGATGAGGTCAGCATCTTGAAGCAGTAAGTTGACTCTTTTCTCATTCGGTGCCTTCCTCATGCCTTCCGTTCAGTCCACAGAGACTTGAAGCCCCACAACATCCTCATCTCTATGCCGAACGCCCATGGCAAGGTAAAAGCCATGATTTCCGACTTTGGCCTCTGCAAGAAGCTTGCAGTTGGCAGGCACAGTTTTAGCCGCCGGTCTGGAGTTCCAGGCACCGAAGGTTGGATTGCTCCAGAGATACTGAGTGAGGACTGCAAAGAGAATCCAGTAAGTCAGAAGCATTTTGCTCGTTTGCTTTGAATCTTTTTTGCTGGGGTTTCCTTGCGCAGTGATTTGAAATCGGGCACACATTTACTGTATGTGGTGGCCTCACTTTTCAGGGTAGGGTATCTTGCAGAAGTTTACCTCTGGGACAGAGTTTTCCTTCCTAACAAGAAAGTCAGAGAGATCTGATCCCTCTTTAGGATAAAGTCAATCTTTAATAAGGTTCTAGAGTAGCCTAGCTCTCTTTAGATAAGTGTGGATTTTGAAATTTAATCCAGAAATTCCTTTTGGGCTGAAGAAAATAGAAAAGGGGCAAGGAAGGAACGTTTCCAATCTCTCCTTGGATCAGTTGGGAGAGTCAAGCCATCAGCAATCTGATCTTCTTGTTTTGGGTTTCAGCAAAATGCTGTAAACAGTGGAGAATAACTGTAATTTGTAATTGCCGATTTCTTTTTTACAGTATTTTACCGTTCCAGCTTCTTCTCTGGTCTTTTTCAAAGTTCAAAGTCTTTCAAAACCCACTTAGGTTTTATAGATTTCAGTTTTAGAGTAAATTAATACATTGAAATCAAAGCCAACTGTTCTTATCCCTAATGCAGCATTCAAGGATGAATAGCTGTTAACATTATTAGATCAAGCCTTTCAATTTAAGAGAGCACCATGCTATGATTTAATTTAAACTAAATATATTTATTTCCTTCATGTAGAGTTGTATCATATCTAGAGCTACAAGATGCGAAATAATACACATGTTTTAATGCTGAGGAAAGAGAATATTTCAGATGTGTTTTGAAAAAAAAATAAGGGGGCACACTTACAAAAGTAGTTTAAGAAAAAGGGATAAAAATTAAAGAGTTCAAAAAAGCCTCTTGCGTCAAACAGCATGTATTGTCAATACAAGAATACCTTATATTCTTCTGAAATTAAAATAGATTTAAATTTTGGTTGCTTATTATGTATTCAGCTAAATGCCAAGATTTGCCTTGTGCAGTACAATGTTCATATCCACAAATTCGAATTTTAGTAAAGTGCTGTAAAGAATCTTGTTGGAATTCTCATATTTCTTACATCTTGGAAATTTATTTTTCTTTATATGCCAAACATTCATTCATTCATTTGTTCATTCATTCATTTGTTCATTCATTCATTTGTTCATTCATTCATTCATTCATTCATTCATTCACTGGATTGCCCAACTCCCAAAAGCTGCTGAATGGCTGGTAACATTATTAAAGATACTGTATGGTAATATTTTTTGAAAATGGTTCTATTGCAGACCCACACGGTGGATATTTTTTCAGCTGGCTGTGTTTTCTACTATGTGGTATCGGAAGGCAACCATCCGTTTGGCAAATCCCTGCAGCGGCAAGCCAACATTTTACTGGGCGCATACAGTCTGGATTGCCTAAATTTAGAGATCCATGGTAAGCAGGCTAGGATACAGTTGTTGTTAATTATGATATTTGTGGCATACATACCTTCATATGTCCAACATAAATTTCTAGACTGCATGTGAAAACTGTGATTGACTTGGATTTATATTTTGCATTGAACAATTTTCTATCTGTGTTATATGTAGGCTAGGGGTGATAGAATCATATTGATTTCTGTAGAAGGTGGCTGAATTCAACAGTGATTTTTTTGTGTGACTTGACTTATTTGTTCATAGGTTACGATTGATCGTGCAGTCAGCCAGATATTTAGACTAGATGTGGCATTTTGTTCACTAATAATAATCAATCCATACCATATGTAAATTGGTTTTTTGCCTTTTCCAGTTCTTGAAAATCATAAGTCAATCTTTTACACCTCTGCATTTCCTTTTATTTCCTTCTGTTCTACTGGAAGAATGTTATTTTTTCTAAATAATATTGGATGTTGTTCAGTATTATGCCCATAAATAATTTAAACATTGTAGGCAAGCATGTTATTGGCCTGTTGTTTTTTGGTGTTGTCCCTTTTGCTGGGTCTTTTTGAGTCAAATAAGCGTTGCCACTTACATACCAATCACTTTCCTTTATGCAATGTTCATTAAGCAGTTTAGCTATAATTGGATGTACACTAAACAGATATTTGAGCCTAAAGCCACACAGTTGATCATTTCCA